ACTTCTAACACCTAATGTGTGGGTTTTGTTGTTGTTTTTTTTTTCCCCACACCAAGCAGTTCTCCAACTGTCTAGACACCATTCAGGTGTTCTACAACTCAATTCAGACACTGAAGTTATCATCAGATCCCACAAGTTAAGGGCTCATTCCCTCAAGACTGTCCCCACTTCAGATGCTAATGCTAATTTTAAGTCTGGGCATCCTATACTTCTGACCTACCGGCTATGGATTGGGGGGGTTCCGACAGCCTCTTCCTGGGGTTCTATAATTTGCTAGAATGACTCACAGAACTTAGGGAAACACTTTACTTATGTTTACTGGTTTATTATAAAGGATACAACTCAGGAACAGCCAGATGAATGAGATGCATATGGCAAGGTGTGTGGGGTGCACAGAGCTTCCCAGCTCTCTCCAGCACACCACCCTTCCAATACCTTGGTGTATTCACCAACAGGGGAGTTCCTCAAATCTCCTTGTTCTAGAGTTTTTATAGAGCTTAATCCTCTCCTTCCTAGAGGTCAGTGAGCGGGGCTGAAAATTCCAAACTATAATCACTTGTTTTTTTCTGGAAACCAGCTCTGCCCAGCAGTTATCTAGGGTTCCCAGCCTGAGTCACCTCATTAGTGTAAACTCAGGTGTGACCAAACGGGCCCCTTATAAACAACAAAAGATACTCCTATCACTTAAGACATTATAAGGATTTTAGGAACTCTGTACCAGGAACCAGGGATAAAGTCTAAATAAATTTCTTATTATACCACAGTTTTCTTCTACATTTTCTTCCAAGTTTAATGTTTCATGTTTACATCTATGATCCATTTTGAGTTAATTTTCATATAAGATGTGAGATATGTCAGCCTAAATAACAGACAGGGAGAGGCTGTCTAAAAGAAAACAATATTTATTCAGGAATAGGGCATTGAAATGGGAATGTGTGTGTCATAGTAAACTATGTGCTTATTCAGGAAGGTAGAGTGAGACAAAGGTTTTTAAAGGGAACTTGAGGAGCATTACATAATTGTTTTGAGATCATTATTTCTGGCTCCAAAGATCAATAACAAGAGAGATGCCAATCGGAAATTGGACAGGCAGTTAAATGTTGCAATGGCCTGTGTGCAAGGCTGTGGTTTTTGAAGTCTTTTGTGATAGTTTTGTTATCAGGCATACAAGTGTGAGAACCCTTTCTTTGCAGTCTTCCCTGGCCTATTTGTTAGGTTTATTATTTATTTATTTTTTAGACTCTTGTCACCCAGGTTGGAGCGCAATGGTGTGGTCTTGGCTCACTGCAACCTCTGCCTCCTGGGTTCAAGCGATTCTCCTGCTTCAGCCTCCCGAGTAGATGGGATTACAGGCATGTGCCACCACGCCCTGCTAATTTTTGTATTTTTAGTAGAGACAGGGTTTCACCATGTTGGTCAGGCTGATCTGGAACTCCTGACCTCGTGATCTGCCCGCCTCGGCCTCCCAAAATGCTGGGATTACAGGCATGAGCTACTGTGCCCGGCCTATTTATTTATTTTTTAATACTAGTGACTCTGTTTTGATTCTGGCTACTTTCATAGGTATGGATGAAGGTTCTTATTTTTACATATGAATGTCCGATTGTTTCAGCACCATTTGTCTAAATAGAATTATTTCTCCATTGAATTACCTTTGCACCTTTGTGAAAAAATCAGATTAGTGTTTGCCGGAGTTCACGGAGGGATGTTGGGGGTGGGAGTTGACCGAAAGGTGAGGCCCAAGGGAGGTCTTTGTGGCGATGGACAGTTTTGCATCTTGCTTGTCCTGGTGGGTACAGGAAACAACATATGTGGGAAAATGACAGAGCTACACACACGTTATAAGCATATCAAATTCCTGGTCTTGGTATTGTACTGTAATTATGTAAGATGTAACCATTGAGGGCGGAAGGTGCCTAGGACCTCTCTGTACTGCCTTCGTAACTTCCTATTAATCTATAATTATCTTTGCAACTTCCTGTGAATCTATAATTATTTCACAGGATAAAAAGGGTTGTGGTTTGTTTTGTTTGTTTGTTTTTTGAGACAGAGTTTCACTCTCATTGCCTAGGCTGGAGTACAATGGTGTAATCTTGGCTCACTGCAACCTCCGCTTCCCGAATTCAAGCGATTCTTCTGCCTCAGCCTCCCAAGCAGCTGGCATTAAAGGCGCCCGCCACCACGCCCGGCTAATTTTTGTATTTTTAGTAGAGACGGGATTTTGCCATGTTGGCTAGGCTAGTCTCAAACTCTTGACCACAGGTAATCCGCCCGCCTCCGCCTCTCAAAAGTGCTGGGATTACAGGCGTGAGTCACTGTGCCCAGCCTCCTCACAGGATAAAAAGTTAAAAAAATCAATTGATCCTATTTGTGTGGGTCTATCAGGACTTTCTATTTTTTTTTCCATTGATCTATTTGTTCATCCTTGGCCATTACCACACTCTTCTTTACTGTAATTTTCTAAGTTTTGAAATTGACAAAACACGTGAATCATCGAACTTTTTTCCTCTTTTACAAAATTGTTTTACCTATTCTGTGTCTTTTGCATTTCTTTTTCTTTTTCTTTTTCTTTTTTTTTGAGACAGAGTCTCGCTCTGTCGCCCAGGCTGGAGTGCAGTGGCCGGATCTCGGCTCACTGCAAGCTCTGCCTCCCGGGTTCACGCCATTCTCCTGCCTCAGCCTCCGGTGTACCTGGGACTACAGGCGCCCGCAACCTCGCCCGGCTAGTTTTTTTGTATTTTTTAGTAGAGACAGGGTTTCACCGGGTTAGCCAGGGTGGTCTCCGTCTCCTGACCTCTTGATGCGCCCGTCTCGGCCTCCCATTTCTATATGAATTTTAGAATCAGTTTGTTAATTTCTATAAAATGTCGGCTGGGATTTTGATTATGGAATTGCTTTGACTCTACAGATCAATACTTAACAGTATTGATTCTTCTAATATAATCCTTTGTTTTTAATTTTCACTTTTCGCTTTCAACTTAAAATTCCTCTTGGTCATCTAAAACTTAAGATGAGAAAGCACAGTTTTGGCAAGTGTGGGATATCACACCTCCCTAATGGTACAGAAAATATGCAGCCTAGCAGGATAGGTTTCTGAAACTCCCGACCCTGTGCAAGGTTACTTTTGCCTAATACAATGTTGCACATTGGGTATTTTTTAAAATGTCGATTATTATCATAGTAACTCATATTCCAAGAAGCAAAGTACATTTTTAGCTTGATAATTTCTAACGACCTGTCCTAAAATTTCTAATTTTAGAAAGAATAAAAACCTTTTAAAAACTCCCATAAGTGGTTTAAAATTTTTAGGCGGGAAAGGCACAGATAGATTCAGGTTTTTATCCATTCTCATATTATAAAGATAAATTTTAAAAGCCCCGAACTGTTTTCAGAAGTGGAGGAGCAAGACATGGGGCCTGACAAGGTTAAGGTGGTGATAGGTAGTAATCAAATCCCACGGAGCCTGAGTCTCTCCAGACCAGGGTCTGTCTTGTTTACAGTATTATCCCTCAGTACCTGGCACTTTTTTTAGTAGTTCAATACATATCTGTTAAAAGAATAAATCAGTTTTATTGCATAATGTTGACCTGGAATCTTTGGGCCACGATTTTTTTTTTTTTTTAAGAGATGGGGTCTCGCTTTATCACCCAGTCTGGAGTGCAGTGATGCGATCACAGCTCATTGGAGCCTCAAATTCCTGGGCCCAAGGAGTCCTCCTGCCTCAGCCTCCTGAGTAGCTGGGATTACAAGTGCAAACCACTGCACCTGGCTGGGCTCTAATTTATATTCTCATTCCAGACTGAATTCATTCCTTGACTAATACTTTATAATAATAGAAGAAAGTCCATATTCTTATGTCCTCCGACCGAGAGTTAATTTTCAAAATAATCAACAGGGAGTGAAAAAATATAATGTCACAATTAAAGGTTTCAAAGATGTGTTTCAGAGATAGGAATGAGGAGGAGTGCTTGTCCCACTCAGGAGTGAGTAGAGGGTGTGATACAGTCACTGAGTGAGCCAGAACCACACCCAGGCCAGAACTACTACCAAGGAATAGAAAGGGGCAATTTGGGATGCGTCAGCTTTCTCTGCATGTGTGGGTATTTGCTCATAAGCAGAACTGCTGGTTTATAAACCCCAACACCCTGTTACCTCCAGATCCCCCCTGTGCAAGCTAAAGTAGGGGCACATCAATATTCTTCATCGGGGTGCATTAGTGTAGTGAGTCTTTTTGATGCATACTCTGTGTGTTTCCCTGTATTCTAATTATATTTTGACATTTACCCAACCACCTTTGATTGGGCTTCTCATGGTAGACTTTCAGGCCATAGCACAACACTTGATTTTGGGGGCTGAAAGTACCTTAGCTTGGGAACTTTTGACTGAAAATTCACATAAAGTGAGGCCTGACTTCTAGGTAGCCTGGAACTGCGCTTCCTGAGCCAAGTCAACATTTCATCACAGGCTATACCACACTTTAGTATTTCTCATTCAAAAGGGAAAAATGGAAGAGACTTTAAAATATTTCCCTGCTGGATATAGTAACTTTTTTTTTGAGATAGGGTCTTGTTCTGTCACCCAGGCTGGAGTGCCATGGTGCGATCACAGCTCACTGCAACCTTAACCTCCCAGGCCCAAGCAATCCTCCTGACTTAGCCACCTGAGTAGCTGGGGCCACAGGTGCATGCCACCATGCCTGGCTAATTTTTTTTTTTTTTTTAATTTTTCTGGTGATGGGGTCTTGCTATGTTGCTCTGGCTGGTCTCAAACTCCAGGCCTCAAATGATTCTCCCACCTCCGCCTTGCAAAGTGCTGAGATTACAGGCATGAGCCACTGTGCTTGGCTGTAACCATTTTTAAATATAAATGCCTGATAAGGCAAGGTTGAAGTATCATTTAAATAATAATAGAATATAAGATATAATTATAAGAATAGAACCTAATGAACTCTTATTTAGTGATCAATGAGGAATATGTTTAATTATCCTTTTACCTTACAGATTATCATGGTAAACTCTGTCTCTGACCTTCATGGCTACATCGACAAAAGCCAACTGACCCGGGAATTAGGGGGGACTTTGGAATATCGCCACGGACAGTGGGTAAATCACCGCACCGTGAGTACCAGCTTACACGTGCTTTTCACTATCTCTCCTTGTTTTCCGGAGGATGGAGTGGCAGAGTTAAACATCGACTGCTGGGAGGTCACCCTGTGACTGCCTGACCTTGGGGTGGTTGGGATTTCTCAGGCACAGGCTGGGGAAGAAGGAGCGTGGAAGGGCAAAGGCTGGGGTTTCTCCTGTTGACCGCGTTACCCTATTGCATCTCTTGGTGTGGGGGTTTTGGGACACTTACCTTCGAATGTACCTGGGAAGTTTCCAGAAACACCAATAGCCTGTTATACCTCAGAGAAACTAATTTTTACTTCATCTGGGATGGGTCTTAGCCTGCCACAGAACTCCCCAGATGATTCTAAGGTACAGACATATTGACACCCATGAAGTCAGAAGAAGCTACATTTAAATATTATCACCCCTCAGTGACTACTGTAGGTGAGAGGTGGGAGGGGGACAAGGATTGTAGAACTATTGGGTATGATGCTCACTATCTGGGTAACAGGATCAACTGTACCCCAAACCTCGGCATCATGCAGTATACCCATGTAACAAACCTGCACGTGTACCCCGGATCTAAAGTCAAAGTCAAAGATGAAACCAGTTTTAAAAAATTGTCACGATTACACATAGTCTATGTCAGGTGAGTTTCTAAGCATTTCTGAGCTTTTTTCTTCCTCTGTTAAAATGGGACTAACACAGTATTGCTCTACAGGGGATAATTTTGCCTGCCCCCTACATTTGTCAATATCTTTCGACTTTTTGTAGTCATAACTTAGTGGGGAAAGTTAACTGGTATCTAGTGGGTCGTCAGGGACTGTGCTGAACACCTTACAATGCTCAAGACAGCCTCCCACAACAAAGCATCATCTGGCCCAAAGTGTGAAGAGCCAATGCTGAGAAACCCCGGACTAACAAAAGCCTCCTGATAGTTTGATGTGGGGAATAAGTGATGTATTATCTGTGAAAGCACCTGCTATATAGTATTTTACTTTTCCCTACCTACTGATATTGGTGATTGTTATGCTAAGTTAGGAGTTTCAGTAATATTGAGATAAACGTGAGATCAAAATTCATTGTCATGGCTTGAATGTTGGTGTCCCCTAAAAATTCACATGTCGGAACCCAATGTGATAGCATTAAGAGGAGGGGCCTTTTGGGACGTATTAAGTCATTAAGGCTGTGGCATCATAAATGGAGTTAGTGCCCTTGCAAAGAGATTAAAGGGAGTTGTCATGCCCCCTCTGCCCTGTGAGGGCACAGAAGCCGTCTTTTATGAGAAACAGACCTCTACCAGACACCAAATCTGTTGGGGCCTTGATCTTGAACTTCCCAACTTCCAGAACTGTAACTGTGAGAAATCAATTTCTGTTGCTTATAAATTACCCATTTGTTTTTGTTATAGGCCATCCCTGGCCTAGTATGTAGCCATGGTTTGTGGTTGTGCATGTGCTAAACATTTTTTAGTGAACTTTAAAAAATACAACTAGTATTGAAAGACCAGAGATATTCTTTACATGCCTTTTACATGTTCTGTGTATATATTTTATATACACACATATACAGTCATGTCTCATTTTATTATGCTTCACATTAATGGGCTTCGCAGATTTGCAGTTTTTTAAAATTGAAGTTTCGTGGCAACTTTGTGTTGAACAACTCTATCAGCACCATTTTTCCAACAGTATGTGCTCACTTCCTGCCTCTCTGACAAATTTTGGCAATTCTTGCAATATTTCAAAGTTTACTATTATTGTTATATTTGTTTCTTTTTCTTTTTCTTTTTTTGAGACAGAGTCTTGCTCTGTCACCCAGACTGGAGTACAATGGTGCGATCTCAGCTCACTGCAACCTCAGACTCCTGGGTTCAAGCAATTCTCCTGCTTCAGCCTCCTGAGTAACTGGGATTACAGGCATGTGCTACCATGCCCAGCTAATTTTTGTATTTTAAGTAGAGACAAGGTTTCACCATGTTGGCCAGGCTGGTCTCGAACTCCTGACCTCAAGTGATCTGCCCACCTCAGCCTCCCAAAGTTCTGGGATTACAGGCGTGAGCCACCATGCCCGGCCAATTGTTATATTTGTAACAGTTACTTGTGGTCAGCAATCTTTGGTGTTACTATTGTAATTGTTTTGGGGTGCCGAAAACTGCATTCATATAAGACAGTGAACTTAATGGATATATGTTGTGTGTGTTCTGACTGCTCCACCAACTGGTCCTCAGCTGTCTTTCTCCCTCTCCTGGGCCTCCCCACTCTCTAAGACAGAACAATATTGCAATTAGGCCAATTAATTACCTTACAATGACCTCTAAGTATTCAAGTGAAAGGAAGAATGGTGTGTCTCACTTTCAATCAAAAGCTTGTAATGATTAACCTTAATGAGGAAGGCATGTCAAAAGTTGAGATGGGCAGAAAGCTAGGCCTCTTAGCCTAGCCAGTTCGCCTAGTTGTGAATGCAAAGATAAAGTTCTTGAAGGAAACTAAAAATGCTACTCCAGCGAATACATGAACGATAAGAAAGCAAATAGCCTTCTTTGCTGATACAGAGAAAGTTTTAGTGGTCTGGGCCTGGATAGAGTATCAAACCACCCACAACATTTCTTTAAGCCAAAACCTAATCCGGAGCAAGGCCCTAACTCTCTTCAATTCTATTAAGGTTGAGAGAGGTGAAGAAGCTGCAGAAGAAAAGCCTGAAGCTAGCAGGGGTTGGTTTGTGAGGTTTGAGGGAGGAATTCTTCTCTGTAACATACAAGTGCAAGGTGCTGATAGAGAAGCTGCAGCAAGTTATCCAGAAGATCTAGCTAAGATCATTGATGAAAGTGGCTACACTCGGCTGGGCGCGGTGGCTCACGCCTGTAATCCCAGCACTTTGGGAGGCTGAGGCAGGCAGATCACCTGAGCTCAGGAATTCAAGACCAGCCTGGACAACATGGTGAAACCCTGTCTCTACTAAATGTATGAAAAATTAGCTGGGCGTGGTGGCGGTTGCCTGTAATCCCAGCTACTCAGGAGGCTGAGGCAGGAGAATCGCTTGAACCCAGCAGGCAGAGGTTGCAGTGAGCTGAGATCACGCCATTGCACTCTAGCCTGAGCAACAAGAGCAAAACTCCATCTCAAAAAACAAAACAAAACAAAAACAAAAACAAGAAAAAATGGCTACACTCAACAACAGATTTTCAATGTAAATGAAACAGCTTTCTATTGGAAGAAGATGCCATCTAAGACTTCCATAACTAAAGAAGAGAAGTGAATGCCTGGCTTCAAAGCTTAAAAGGACAGGCTGACTCTCTTGTTAGGGGCTAATGCAGCTGGTGACCTTAAATGGAAGCCAATGCTCATTTACCACTCCAAAAATCCTAGGGCCCTTAAGAATGATGCTAAATCTACTCTGCCTGTGCCCTAGAACTAGAACAACAGAGCCTGGATGGCAGCACTTCTGTTTACAGCATGGTTAACTGCATATTTTAAGCCACCTTTTGAGACCTACTGCTTAGACAAAAAGATCCTTTCAAAATATTACTGCTTTTTGGCGATGCACCTGGTCACCTGAGAGCTCTGATGGAGATGTACAAGGAGTTGAATGTTGTTTTCATGCCTGCTAACACAACATCGATTCTGCAGCTTATGGATCAAAGAGCAATTTCAACTTTCAGTTTTACTATTTAAGAAATACATTTTGTGAAGCTATACCTGCCATGTATAGTGATTCCTCTGATTAGTGTGAGTACAGCAAATTGCAAACCTTCTGGAAAGGATTCATCATTCTGGATGCCTTTAAGAACATTAGTGATTCATGGGAGGAAGTCAAACTATCAATATTAACAGGAGTTTGAGAAAAGCTGATTCCCACCCTCATGGATGACTTTGAGGGGTTCCAGAATTTAGTGGGGGAAGTAACTGCAGGTGTGGTGGAAACAGCAAGAGAACTAGAATTAGAAGTGGAGCCTGAAGATGTGACTGCATTACTGCAACCTCATGATAAAGCTTGAATGAATGAGGTGCTGTTTTTTACGGCTGAGCAAAAAAAGTGATTTCTTCATCTTTCTGGGGATGATGATGTGAACACTGTTGAAATGACAACAAAGGATTTAGAATATTCCATAAACTTAGTCTACAAAGCAGTGGCAGAGTTTGAGAGGATTAACTCCAATTTTGAAAGAAGTTCTATCGTGGGTGAACTGCTATCAAACAGTATTGCATGCTACAGAGAAATCATGAAAGGAAGTCAATTCATGTGACAACTTCATTGTTGTCTTATTTTAAGAAATTGCCACTGCCATTCCAGCCTTCAGCAACCATCACCCTGATCAGTCAGCAGCCCTCCATATTGAGGCAAGACCCTCCAGTGGCAAAAAGATTGTGATTTGATGAAGGCCCAGAAGATTGTTAGCAATTTTTTAACAATAAAGTATTTTTAAATTCAGGTATGTAGAATTTCTGACATAATGCTATTGCACACTTAATAGACTACAGTATACTGTAAACATAATTTCCCTTTGCACTGGGACACAAAAGAATTTTTGTGACTCACTTTATTGTAACATTTGCTTCATTGCAGTAGCCTAGAACCAAACCCACAATATCTCTGAGATTTGCCTGTATATATAACTAGGAATAATATAACCACACATGTACAGTACATATTGTTTTATAAGTGAGGTATATAGATTCTTTTGTGTGTGACAGTGCATTTTATGGGTGTCACCTCTTTGAACGAGAGACTCAGAAAGTTAGAACTCAAAGGAATCTTAAAGATCATGTGGCTCAATCACTTTATTTTATAGATAAATAAACTGACATTCAATGTAAAGAGGTGACTTATCCAAAGTCATTTGGTCAACTAGTAGCAGCACTGAGACTAAAACCAGCCTCTTTTTAATCTCCCTATCAGGATCAGGTCCTCTATACCATTTCCAAAGTCAGGTAATTCACTCATTTTGTCAACTAAATCTGTTGTCTTTCCATCAAGAGAGCATGTTAGTGAATGTTAAGCTCTCCACATTGTTACAATTATCTGACCTTCCAGGCCATCGAAAACTTTGCCTTGACCTTGAAGACCACTGCCCAGATGCTGCAGACATTTGGGGCCTGCCTGGCCACAACAGAGCTGCCCAGAAGCATGCTATCCACTGAAGACCTTCTCATGTCCCACACAAGGCAGCGGGACAAGCTGCAGGTGAGCGGTCAGTGGCCTCTCAGAGGCTAGCGTCTGTGCCAGCAGGTATACCTGCCTCTTGGAGAGAGCTGGGAGCAAAATTAACAGTTAAGCTCTCATTTTCCTTCTTCTTTAGTGACTTGGAAACCACTGATCATCTTAAACCTTCCAGACAGGCAGTTTGTAATGAAAGAAGTATCTTGAGACTGAGTGGTGAGTGAAGGATGGTGGGAAGCAGCACAGAGAAGGGCTTTTCCAGCTTTGTCTGGGTGAGCTGAGGCATGTGAGCACCCTTTCAAGGGTTGCACTCCTGTGATCCTGCTCAGGACAGAGCAAGACAGAACATGCTAAAATTGCAGGGGGTAGGGGCTGGCTTTTGAAATACAAGCTTTCCAGCAGTGGTTGTAAAGTTTTGGGGCAGACTAATAAGCTGACTTACTGCTTCACTTTCTCAGAAGTGTGTCTTTTTATTTGGGGATGAATTTGAGAAAAAGGACTATGGAAGGTGCCCTGACCTGGGTTGAAGGAGAGGCACCTATTAAATGATTCATAAAAGCACGTCAGAACCTGCTGAGGAAAGGGAGCTTGGCAGGTTCTTTTAGTCATGCAGTACAGGGAAATCTTCCTGGGGCTTCTCCCTGGATGAGTGTTGGCACCTTTCTACCTTGAGGAGCACAGACCAATCCCACTATTTCAGAGAAGCCCAGTTTTCAATAGGGCAGCAAAATGAGGATTGGACGGTCAGTGTATGTGTCTTGGCCTCATGGAACTTGGGAAGAGTTGAACTGTTGTATCTGTGACCAAAAAGTTGCAAAAACACTTTGCTAGATGGTTGATTTGTTCATTTATTCAACATTTATTGAGCACCCACCACTACTTGCCAGGAGAACCAAAAAGGCAACCTCAGCGAACACATAGTCTACTTAGGAGAGTCTCAGAGTCTAGTAATCGAGGCAAATTAATGTTTCCATGTGCCAGGGAACACTGTTAAATTCAGTCTTTAAGGAGGTTGTTATTCAAAAAGAGATGACCGGGAGTGGTGGCTCACATCTGTAATCTCAGCACTTTGGGAGGCCAAGGTGGGTGGATCACCTGAGGTCAGGAGTTCGAGACCAGCCTGGCCAACATGGTGAAACCCCGTCTCTACTAAAAACATAAAAATTAGCCAGGCTTGATGGTGGGCGCCTGTAATCCCAGCTACTCAGGAGGCTGAGGTGAGCGAATTGCTTGAACCTGGGAGGCGGAGGTTGCAGTGAGCCGAGATCTTGCCACTGCACTCTGTCCTGGGCGACAGAGCGAGACTCCATCTCAAAACAACAACAACAATGAAAGAGAAAAATATATTCCAAAGATTACTGTGAATAATCAAAATATCTGGACTGGCCTGGGCCCAGTGGCTCACACCTGTAATCCCAGCACTTTGGGAGGCTGAGGTGGGCATATCACCTGAGCTCAGGAATTCGAGACCAGCCTGGACAACATGGTGAAACTAAAACTCTACTAAAAACACAAAAAGTAGCTGGGCTTGGTGGCAGGCGCCTATTATCCCAGCTACTCGGAAGGCTGAGGCAGGAGAATCACTTGAACCCAGGAGGCAGAGGTTTCGGTGAGCCGAGGTCATGGCACGCCACTCCAGCCTGGGTGACAGAGTGAGACTGTCTCAAAAAACAAACAAACAAACAAAAAAACAAAACAAACCAAAATTTGGACTGAAATTGTAAAATCCTGATGACATCCTGAAAATTTTCCCTGAAAATGCCTCTAAGAAGCTTGGCCTTTGCTTTTCTAAACCTACTGGCTTAAGTTCACATGATTCTTAGGAGGTGCGAGTTGCAGAAAGCAGGGCCTAGGTGCCTCTGTGAAGTGTGCTAGGAAGGAGTTTGCAGTTGCACAGGCCCTAAGGTGATCCCTGACCAAGAGGAGTCTGCAGAGTGGTCCTGTTGATACAAAGGGGTGTCATGGGAAGGACGCCCAGCGCAGCAAGGACTGTGAAACTGAGCTCTGTGCCTAGGGCTCATGAGCACAGTGCGTTCTTTGCCTCAATCCCTGAAGGGTGTGGAGAGGTCGAAGAGCAGAATCACCAGGATGACAACGTGATCAGTCAGGAAGGTCTCTGGAGAAAAGGTTAAAACATTTGGATTTTAGATAAGGACACATTACTGGGGGGTGAAAACCAGCCAGTCAGGTCTTGCCGTATGTGCTGGTGGCAAGGCAGAGGGGTGGGGACAGGGAAGGCAGATGAGTGGGTGTTCTATATTTCTCTACACAGGCAAAGAGTTCTGCAGAGGTAAACAGGTGGGAAAGAACCAGTTTCCAGGATGGAGTAAGGGGATATCCTTATGCATGCTAACCAGCTGTTCTCAGAATTAGAACAGGCAGCTCTGAGCAAAGGAGGCTAAGACTTCTCTCAGGTTATGGGGTGGAGTAACCTTGGAGGCCACATAGTTAGAAGTATTATTTGACATTTATACTCTATTATGTTAATTTGGTTAAACACTCCCTATCCAAGCTGTAAGACAAGTGAAAGGAAATTAGAAGGTTCCATTTAATTGGCCTTTTAGTAAAAGAAATGCTTGCATTTATATTCCATGCTACCCTAAAATCATGGTGAAGACCTAAAATTATTTTAAGACAAAATTCTGAAAGTGATTTAATTTGTCCAAGTGTTTACCTCGATTAAGAATATTAAGTGCATTTGGATTTAAAATATTATCATCTTTATTTTACCAAGTAATATTAATTAACATCCTTTAAAACACAACACAGGCTGGGCACAGTGGCTCAAGCCTATAATCCCAGCACTTTGGGAGGCCGATTGGGGGTGGATCACCTGAGGTCAGGAGTTCGAGACCAGCCTTGCTAACATGGTGAACCCCTGTCTGTACTAAAAATACAAAAATTAGCCGGGCATGGTGGCTGGCGCCTATAATCCCAGCTACTCGGGAGGGTAAGACAGGAGGATCACTTGAACTTGGGAGGCAGAGGTTGCGGTGAGCCAAAATCACTCCATTACACTCCAGCCTAGGCAACAAGAGTGAAACTCCGTCTCAAAAACAAAACAAAACAAAAAACCAAACAAACAAAAAATACAGATAATTTCTTAAGGCCTTTTGGTGATTACTGATTATTGTCCCAATTCAAATTTGATTCCTTATCTTGTAGCTTAGAAGCATGAATACCAAAATCATTAAACTAGAGTTACATTTTTCCTCTTTCTTATCCAAAAGTGACTTAAAGAGAGAAATGGTTTATATTAGAAAAAAAGAGGTACTGGCCGGGCACAGTGGCTCACACTTGTAATACCAGCACTTTGGGAGGCCAAGGTGGGTGGATCACGTGAGGTCAAGAGTTTGAGACCAGCCTGACCAACATGGAGAAACCCCATCTCTACTAAAAATACAAAATTAGCCGGGCATGGTGGTGCATGCCGTAATCCCAGCTACTCGGGAGGCTGAGGCAGGAGAATCGCTTGAACCTGGGAGGTGGCGGTTGCAGTGAGCCGAGATCACACCACTGCACTCCAGCCTGGGCAATGAGAGTGAAATTCCGTCTCAAAAAAAAAAAAAGAAGAAAGAAAAGAAAAAAAGAGATACTGTTTAAACTTGTATTAATAACTTAGTAGTTTTTGTGGTTATTTATGCATATTTTATTTTACCCTTATTGGTCTTTTACCTACCTTTTAATCAAAGATTCTATATGTCATTAAATAATTTCTTTTCCAGCTAGAAGAGTGAAAAACTATTGTAAGATCCATTCTTCAGTACAGTGAACTTTTATAGCTATTTAAATAGCTATAAAAGTTGTAGCATGTGATTTACCGTTTTCTCCCAGCCTGGAGAGGGTTTTTTCCTAAACAGCTAGCACAGCTTCGGGGATTTGGCTTGATGTCTTGAATTCCTTTCTCCTGGATCTTTAAGAGAGATCTTAGGTATACGCGTCTGGTCGCCTCTACAATCAAACAGAATAGGAGAGCTATTGAGTTGGAGAGGTTTTCAGTCTCACTTGCTATTTCTCTAGGGAGTTGTTACTATTTTGTTCAAAATAGTCTTCCAGTAGAACCTCTTTTCTTTTGGCCCTTCGGTATATTAAGCCAATCAGTTCACACAGAAAAAAATCTCAAAACATCCACAGTGGAACAATCGTATCAAACTTTTAAGCAAACTGATGACTTTACAAAAGGCTCTTCCCCAGAAACATAAATTCTTTCCCCCAGCCTGAGCCACAGTTTGGGCCTTAATCTATTCTTACAATCAGAGAGTGCTCCCGACTTCAGTAAGTGCTATTTTCTGTCCAAATTGTGGGCACCTTGGGCTTCATACTAAATTTGAAACCTTATTTTCTCTGTGATTTCTCTCTCATCTGAGGGACAGAAAGGAAGAGCAAGTCTTGTAAACACAAGCAGCTTTAGCCTTCCCTGGGAGAGCTGAGCTCCGGATGAATGAGACAAGCAAACAGGACTCAGCTACCCGTGGTTTCTGCTGTGTGCCTTTCCACCCATCAAGGAGAGTCCGAGCAAGTGCTCAGAGCGCATGCACAACGGCACCTCCACCTCGTCTGCCAATTGGATCCTGTTCCAAGGTGGTGGTGGGGCTCCCATTTTCTGAGGAAAGGGAACTTTGGTAGGCAATGAGCTATCTCTCAGTTTACAAGCAGTCCTCACCCTGCCACCAGCAGGACCCTGTCAGCACAGGGAAAAGGAGACTCTACAAAAGGGAGTATGAACTTAAACACATGTTCTGGAAGACAGTGCCCTGAGTTCCTCCTCCAGCCTGAGTGCAGGCAGTAAAAACATTAAATACCTGAAAAGATTATTTTCTTTCCATGGAAACTGAAACTCCAGTTTTAGGCTGAGCAACTTCCCCTTACCCTTTCCAAGTACCATAGTTGCTCCATCTTTCCATCTGTGTTCATGACAGATTTTTGTAACCCTACTCAAGTTGACCATGGGGTTGAATCCCAAAGCAGTCACTTGGTCACAATTTTTGCTTGTATCCTTTTTAAACAGTGTAAAGGGGATATACAGCGTGTGACATCACTTGTGAAGATTCACCTTCCCTGTCTCACACACTTTCTTCATGCTCTGCCACACTTCGGGTGTATCCCTCTTCCCAGCTTCCCCCTCCAGTGTCTCCTTCTGCCACAACAATATGGCGCTTCTCCTTTAGCCTCTCTACCTTTCTTCCCAACTCTTCTTCATATATGGATGTGTGTGTGTGTGTGTGTGTGTGTGTGTTGCTGGAAGCTCAGCAGCAGTTAAGAAAATGAGTGGGAAAAGCCACGACCCTCTTTAGTGGGTGGGATGAGGGAATGGCTAAGACACTGACTCAGGAGTACATTTTTTCCATCATATCTAATTTGTCTTTATCCATCTGCAACCTGACTTCTTTTAGGCTGTTATTAATTTATCCAACCTACAAATATTTAATGAGCATTGATGAGATAAGAAATGAGGGCTGACACATGAGAATGGAAAAGAAGAGATATGCCTGATTCCCAGGCGAGAGTGCCAACCATGTGGCTAATGTGGGGCACTATTTGGAGTGGGCAGAGCCAGAGGAGGTGTCCAAAGAACCCTGAAGGGCTAGCTCACAGAAGCCAAGTCCATCATCAGCCAGATCCAGGGCCAGGTTTGAGGATGGGTATGGCCATGTAACCCTTCCAGGGGAAATTCTGGAGTAGGATGGGACACAACAAAAGTATGAGCTTGAGAGGGTCCAGGACTTCTGTGTGATCAGAGTGGGGAAGTCTAAAACTCTTCCCACAGGGAATGAGCTCTAGGCTGTGTGAAGACCACAGAGGTGGCTGGGCCTAGAGGAAGTGATTCAGTGTTTATGTGTGCAGAGGTGATCTCTTGGTTTGTTTTAGAACTATGGGCCTGTTCTAATGCTCAAGGGCATACCAAACCAGCCTCCTCTGACCCAGGAACCAAACCCATAATTCCCAAGCACAAAATTCTAGGTCAGGCTCTGCCACTTTTGTTTTGCAGCCCGGGCTTTCTTTATGGGTAAGGCTCAGGGCAATGAGAGATGACCTGCACTGTCCAAGGAAAGGACTACAGCTGTTGGCTGAAGGAAGTAACCTTCCACAACTGCATAGCACTAAGTCTTTGTGTTAAAAAAGCAGAATGGGGGGTTGGCTTGGAAGTACGAATCTTTCCATGTTAAACTGAAATTGCTGCCCATATCTGCCAAACTTAAATAATTAAACAAGGCCACAGTTGGTTGGCAGGTGGAGGGAGAGCAGGTGTTTATTGATGAGACCAACCGAAGTATTTTTATGATCAATTAGCAGTTATTACGTTATTATTGCTTGGTAGTTTCTAGCATTCAACATTCAATATCTATCATTTTCTTGTTTCTGGTCACTGTCTTGGATTAAAACTAGGTTGTATTAACTAGTTTTGCTTTTAATTTACAATAGTAGCTTGAGATATACAAAAAGCAGATGTTGATTTTGAAGAGGAAAAATATACTTTTTTTGGTGTATACCCTTTCAGATATTTTGAATTTTGTATCATGTCGGTGCGTTACCTATCAAGGATAAGTTAACTGATTAATTTTAAAGCTGCATCTTGACTTCATCAGCATTTAATTTCCTAAATGAAAAATGTACTGATCTACCTCTTCACCCCAATTCTACCAAGAATTTGTTTTTTCTAATTCCTTCTAAGAGAGACTACTTTTATTCTAGGATGAGCTGAAATTACTTGGAAAACAGGGGGCCACATTGCTGTCATGCATCCAAGAACCAGCCACCAAATGTCCCAACAGCACACTCAATCTCAATCAACTTGAGAATGTAACTACCATGGAAAGGTGAGTGAGTGAGGTGGAATCTGCCTTTTCAGGAGAAAATACATAGAGCTAGATGTTCTGGAGCAACCAAGAACAGATTGGAACAGCCAATATTGGGTCTTGGTGGGGCCAAGGAAGAAGAACATTTGAGACAACAAAGGAAAAAAGATCACATCCATCTGGCATCCATGTATGGAGATCTTTTTATGAGCATTCCATTCCCCGCTCTTCAATGTCTATGACATGCTCCCACCCTAGGATTTTGAGGGAGAGGGTAGTATTTATTGGGCTTCATTTCCAAATAACAGTTTGGCTTGGAGCTGTGCTTTATATTCGTGTGTCTCAGGTAGAAAGAAAGAAGGCATGAAGGTAAGATCAGCTGGAGCACATTCTAAAGCACAGCAGCTGCATCTGAAGTGAAGTTGCTGCCTGCACTGTGGGTGTCCTGATTGGAAAATGAAAGGTGCAAAGCCCGCTGAGCCAGAAGAAAGGCATAGGTGACACACGCTTTCATAATAAGGAGATGGTTGCAATTGATACCACTGACCGAAGACACAGGTGTTCTATCCATAGGCCTATATGGATGCCTGTGGAAATGAATGCTAACCTAACACCACTTTCTCATTCTTTCCTGAAAGGTTATTAATTCAACTGGATGAAACAGAAAAAGCCTTTAGTCAGTTTTGGTCCAGTCATCATTTGAAGCTTAACCAATGCCTACAACTACAGCATTTTGAGCACGATTTTTGTAAGGTATTCTTTTCTTGTTTAATATAACTTTCTTTTCTGCTACTGTGACCTCTGGTTTTCTCTCCCTCCTCACTCTTTGGTATGGGGTTTCCCTCTTTTCCCTAATCCAGCTTTCTCCTTATCTCCTTGCTTCTTTACAGACCACCCCCTCCAACCCCCTTCTCACTTTTTCAGTGGAGTAAAGGTGTTCTAGAATCCCATTTTCCTGTTGCGGTACATGGCATTTCAGCGATGGTTTATCTTGCTTTTTTTTTTTTTTTTTTTTTGAAACAGGGTCTTATTCTGTCACTCCGGCCGGAGTGCAGTGGTGCGACCATGGCTCACTGCAGCTTTGATCTTTGGGCTCAAGCTGTCCTCCCACCTCAGCCTCCCAAGTAGCTGGAACTACAGGCAATGCCCCACCATCACACTAGATAATTTTTTTTTTTTTTTTTTTTTGAGATGGAGTCTCACTCTGTTACCCAGGCTGGCGTACAGTGGCGCAATCTCAGCTCACTGTAACCTCCGCCTCCCTGGTTCAAGCGATTCTCCTGCCTCAGCCTCCCGAGTAGCTGGGACTACAGGTGCCCGCCACTACACTCAGCTAATTTTTGTATTTTTAGGAGAGATGGGGTTTCACCATGTTAGCCATGATGGTCTTGATCTCCTGACCTCTGTGATCTGCCCGCCTCGGCCTCCCGAAGTGCTGGGATTATAGGCGTGAGCCACCGTGCCTGGCCCAGATAATATTTTAATATTTTTGCAGAGACGAGGTCTCCCTATGTTGCCCAGGCTGGCCTCAAACTTCTAAGCACAAACAATCCTCCTGCCTCAGCCTCCCAAAGTGCTGGGATTATAGGCATGAGCCACTGGACCCAGCTATCTTCCTTTTTGATTGATAATTGGTTGAATATAGTTCTAATAGTTCAACTACAGGTGAATTCTGCACCCCCAGCTTAATTTGAAAGTTAGTGAGCTGCAAAAAACAATTTTTTAACATATGTAGATATATACAAGTCTTGAATCCTCTTTGGAATTTTGAGTTTCCTTGAAGCATAACAAACCTATACCTTCAGGTGAGTGAGTGTTGGTTTACTTCTGGACTGTTCTAATGTTTCTTGTAGGCTAAGCTTACCCTGGATAATTTGCTGGAAGAACAAGCAGAGTTTACAGGCATTGGAGACAGCGTGATGCATGTGGAGCAGCTTCTTAAGGAACACAAAAAACTGGAGGAAAAAAGCCAGGTTTGCTTTCTAACATTTTTGTGTACTGGGAAGGAGGTCGCTGTGGACGGTGATGGATCACGTCCAGTCATTGCTATTGGAAGGTTGCTAAAGGACACAGGAATGCCCAATCCTGCCCTTCAGTCACCCCAGGATCCCAAGGAGAGTTGCACATTAACAACTGCTATGAATAATACGGGCAGCACAGAGTCCTATTAAAGCCGCCGAACATACAGTTGCGGTTGGACGCTCAGGTGGGGTGAGGACTCTGGACCAGCCCTGCCCTCTTACGTGGTCAGCAACCAAGTGGGAGAAGATCACAGCAGGTTCATCACTCACCAGAACAATTATCTCAGAGTCTCACCAATCAGCTTGAGCTCCTCCCTGGAGCCTGGACTAGGGGACTGGGGGTTGTGGGGTTGGTAGTAGACGGGAAACTTTCAAAGGGGAAACCAGGAAAAAAAACAACAACTAGTTTTATACCTGGAGCAAGACAGTTAGACGGGGGAAACTGGTCCACATTAGTTCCATTGCTACACAGAATTGGCAAAGCTTTCTCCTTTCTCATGTCCCAGGAGTTGTAAATATGAAACTTGTATAAGAATATGTATTTTACAGTCCCATACTGGAATTAAACAGTGTCCCAGATCTGCACAGAAGTCAGCATTTAGAAGTGATTACATTTTAAGTGTTTACAAATTTGTTTTATTACAAATGAAGAAAGCGGAGTCATCTCTTTCCATAGAAGTTCCTTTCTGCTTGTTTAAAATTAGGTTCTTTATATTTTTGGGTCTTGGGAACCAAGTACCCTATGGTTAGCGCTTCCTTTCTTAGCTAATCTGGAGGCATGTTTCTCAGATGGCAATTTTGCAGTACTAGAGATGTGCCAAAGTGTGAGCCTCTGGCCAGCAGCACAGATGTCACCTGAGTAAGTGCTAATTAGAAATATAAAATCTCAGACCCCACCCTGGAATTGGAATCTGCATTTTAAGAGGATCCCCAGGTGATTGACTTGTATATTACAGTTGGAGACACACACCCCTAAAGGATACGAAACAAAGTATACTAAGGCCACACTGACTCTAAGAGCTGTCGGTTATAGATTCTGAGCTGCAGGTGCTTGTGCACATGCATGAACACACAAACCCACCTGTGTATCCAGATCCCCATTCAGGAATCCCGTCCCTCCCTAGCGAGTGCTCTTTCTCTTACCAGTGACCATTTGTCAGATAGACTAGTGCCGAAGACACACGAGTCATCAGGAACATTTCTCAAACAACGGAAAAGGTGAATTTCATATCTATGATGACTATATGTCTTAGATTCTTCAGGACAGCCCCAATCTTATAACATTTTAGTTTTTTCAAAAGAATTTTTTACTGAATATAAGTACTATATTTTTTGCTTATTCATATATTAAGAAAAAGTGCCTCATCAATAAAATGCCTTCGTATATATATGAAAGTGGCTACTGACCTATCCGGAGGGTTATTTATTCATCAACAGGTATTCCTTATCCTGGGTTCCATGGATGCGGCGGTGAGCCAGACAGTCCAGATTCTGCCCTCATGGAGCTTACATTCTACTGGAGAGAGATGGTTCACTAAAAAGCAATCAAATTAATAATAACATCAGATAGTAACAAGTGATATAAAAAAGAAAACAAAATATAATAGAAAGTGACTGGGGATGCTACTTTAGCTAGCATGGTCTGGAAAGGCCTGAGAAGACGACCTTTGATCTGAGATCTGTTTGATCTGTGTAATCATGCAAAGACTTAGGGAGCTGCGGGTGCAAAGGTCTTAAAGCGGGAATGAGCTTGGTGAGTTCAAGGAACATTGCTAGAGCAGGTGGGCCAGGAGGAAATGAGGGGACAGAGATGAGCAGAGGCCAGGTGTCCTGTTGCACCCTGAGATCTTTTGTGAGGATTTGAATTTTATTCTCAGTGGAACAGAAAGCCCTTGGAAGGCACTCTGGACTGTGTTTTGAATAGTAGTGATGGATCTGCATGACTGCATCACATTCTGTCTTCTGCCCACCTCCTTGAACTTGTGGTCCTTGGTATATACTTCAAAAGTTGCTGACCTGAGCTAGGGATGAAACCTATGGCTATGCAACACAGGAATGCTCTGCGAACCCATGACCCACCTTTCATGGGCAACATTCTGGAAGCAGCTAGACTAGCCCACTGTGGATGACCTGTGACTTGCAGGATTTGCAGACCTGTCACATCCTGTGACTTGCAGATCTTGTTTCTAAACTTGCTTCCTGAAGGATGCAGTACACCTGTGTCTCTGCCTTTGGGTCAATCAAACAAAGCTGTCTCACCATAACTGAGGTCGTTTTCAATATATCTTCCCTCAGACTTCTCAGAGGCATGGCTTCTTCAGATGATTAGGGCTTGGCTCATCTTTCCATTTGTCCTTTAAAGTGTTAAAGGAACAAGACTGTGTCTGGCCACAGTCTGACAAATATCTGCTTGGGGTTTGTCCTTTCCTCGGCACCAAGGGGCCACCTCCCTCCCAGCACAGCCGCACACTGGCTCTGGGGCGTTGCCAGCTTCCTTATTCCACACAGTGACATCATCCTCACAAGTAACCTCAGAGTCAGCTCACTAACCAGGCTCCTGTCGCATGCTGATTCAGCCTGTTCTTTCTCTTGTTCTAGTTTGAGGGTTTAGCAGTGTTTTGAATGCTCCTTCCTGATTCTGAAAAACAGTAGTTTCAACCATTTATAGAAGGTCTTCTATAAAAGCAGAATTTGCAGCCAGGTTTTGACTGTGGGAGCATACTGAGACCCTTGCTGAGAGGCCAGCAGGGAACACACCAGGATAGGGTGGAGGAACCACCAGATTTCAGCCTTGACCTCTCCCTATAAGGGTGCTGTGTCTAAGAAGGCATGGAACCCAGGCCATTAACATCTAAGGATGTCATCTAGTTGGAGGGTCATGGCTTTGTGTACATGTGTGAGATTTTCAAACACACACAGAAGTAGACAGACTGGCACAATGAACTCCAAGTGTCCGTCATTCAATTTCAACAACCATTAACTTTCTGCCTTTCTTGTTTCATCTGGCCCACCTCCCCATACACACACTCCATCCCTATGGATCATCTGTGGGTTTGTTCTAGATTCCCTGATAGAGTAACATCACTCGCTTTCTTGCTATTTTCTTCCCTAGTAGGCACTCTCATCTCTCATCTGTTATACCAGTAGAGTCCTCGGCGGGGAATAAACTGTTATTTCAATAAAGATTTCTGAATCGCAACTTCTAAGCTGCAACTTGACTATCTAGCCTTCTGGAATTTTCGGCATCTGAAAGATCCCAGATGGGCTTGTGATCAGAGTACCGGATTTTAGCCATTTTTCCCTCACTCTTTCTTTTTTACTTTGGAGATTTTGATGACTATTTATCTTGAGCGGGAGGTATATAAACTAAAAAAATAAGCTTCAATTTGGAGGTTTCACTGTAAATTTCTTTGCAGGCACCAGGAGGATTTCATAGCACATGTGGAGAGGCCAGGTGGTTGGAAGGTGACAAGAACATAGGCTTTAGAGTCAGATAGGGATGGATTAAAATCTTGGCTCTAACAAGTACCAGCTGTATGACCCTAGTCACGTTTCTTAGCCTTTCTGAATATGGCACCCCTCATCTGTAAAACAGAGATAATAATTCCTACCTCACAGAGACCCTGTGAAGATTAAATGAGTTAGATGTGTGGTAGGGACTTCATGTGGTCGGCCTGCAATGTGGTCAGTGGTCAGTGGTCAATATTCAGTGGTCAGAAACTATTGTTGTCCTTTCAATTCTGTAATAGTGACCTTCCAACCATATGGTGGCTGAATCCGGGTTGCTCCTTAGTTTCCCTTTTTGTTTTGAGACGGAATTTCACTCTTGCTGTCCAGGCTGGAGTGCAGTGGCACAATCTCGGCTCACTGCAACCTCCACCTCCCAGGTTCAAGCGATTCTTCTGCCTCAGCCTCCTGAGTAGCTGGGATTACAGGTGCCCGCCACCACGCCCGGCTAATTTTTGTATTTTTAGTAGAGATGGGGTTTCACCATGTTGGTAAGGCTGGTCTCTAACTCCTGACCTTGTGATCCGCCGGCCTTGGCTTCTCAAAGTGCTGGGATTACAGGCGTGACCCACCGCGCCCGGCCTCCTCAGTTGCCTTTATGGGTGTTTTTCCCTAGACACATTTGGACCTGTTACTCACATCTTTCCTCTAACATCTCAAATGTCTTCTGGACAGTTCTGAAGGGTGAAATACTATATGCCAAGGGAAGGGCAGGCTCTGATCACCACAGGGCGATTTGGAAGTATCTTGTGGTGAATTTCCCTGGACCCAGAAAATTCTGCCCTGTTCTTAATAAATTAGGCAGCTGGACTTAAAAAAAATGTCAACAGAGACTTTCTTGCCAAGTCTCATGTTTCTATATTTGACTAAAGTCAGACAAGTTTGAGCAACCAAATGAGGTCTCTAAGCTTAGGCAGAATAAGTGCAGTCATTTTTCTCTGTGTATGTTGCTCTGAGCCAGATCCTGGAGCCAGACTGCCTGGGTTTGAAGCCTGGCTCTTCTCTTTCCTACCTGGGTCACCTTGGGCCATTGTGCCTCCACTTCCCTTTGGTAAAACAGTACCTGTATCAAAGGTTTTGTTGTGAAGAGTTAAAGAAATAAGCAAATGTAAAGCATTCAGAACAGTGCCTGGCACGTAGTAAGCTCTCAGTAGATGTCAGCTGTTGTTATTAATATTACAGAGGTAGAGGGATAAATTCTGTGCTATGGAACATGTCCTAGGTTCAGTCTGCAGTAGCTGAGCAGTGCTAGTAAAGGTCTGTCATTCATTTGACATTTATTCTGCAAATATTTATTCATCTCCTACCATGCCAGGTACTGTTTAAGTTCTGAGGACACAGCAGTGAACCAGAGAGTCAAAAATCACTGCCCAGGGAATGAGTATTGCAGTCGTCTTGTAACCAGTGTACCTGGGCCTTTGCTGTTTAGAACAAGTGCTCTGGGTATTTTCGCCTCAGTCCTTTTAACTAGCCACTGCTTGATTTGTGTCACTCGTTTCTATACCAGTACTCCTCTTCGTTTTGTGCAGCATTTGTTTGTAAGTATCTCAGATGCACCATGCCCTGTTTTCAGTTGAATAAGAGCTGGTTCTGGACCATAGGGGTCTGTGGCATAGTGCAGGCAGCAGATAAGTGGTCACAACATAATGAAGCAGGTGCTCTGATCAAGAAAGCACAGAGAAAGTTTTCTGGAGAAGGTGAAGTCTGAAATGTAATTTAGATTGAGCTGGCCCCAGAGGAGTACGGGTGTGGTAGAGGATGGGTGAGGGGGAGTAGGGAAGGATGGGCTTTCTAGGCAGACAGCAGGTAGAGAAGGGATGGAGGCCTAAAGCTGCCTGAATATTTGGGGAACAACAAATAGATAATTAGTATGGTTGCAGCAGAGAATGGTGTTGAGGAAGTGGAGGAGGACTTGGTAAGAGGCACACCCAGGTATAAGCTAGATAACGAAAGGTCCCGTGTACATTGCTCAAGAGTTTAAGCTTGCTCCTGAAGACCCTAGGGACCCAGAAAAGGGCTTGAAGCTTGGAAGTGATGTAGACACAATAAGATGTGTTGGAATCGCTGCTTTGTCAGCAGTCTGGAGCGTGAGTTGAAGGAGAGCCCGAAGAAAAGCAGGGAGACCAGCTGTCCCCATGAGAAACCATGAGGCCTGAGCAGACAGTGGCAAGGAGGTGGCAGAGATGGGGTCAGAACTTGAAAAGCATTAAGAAGGCGATGGCCCCTGCAGGACTTCTTGAATGACTGGGAGGGTAGGAGGAAAGGGGTTTGGAAATTGTTGAAACGATAAACCAGTGCAAGTTAAGAGAGGGGCAAGTTGTACATACCTGGAGTTACGGTGACTCCTCATGTTACTGTAAACAGCTAAAGCAGAGCAGAAAATGATGCACTGGATGCTTAGCGTGGCTGGCAAGGGGGCTCATGGGCTCTCTGCTCCTAGAGACCTTTCGGAATGTGGCAGTCATCTGTGCTGATGCCAAAGTCAAGGTAGTTTCACAGAGTTCCAGCCAAGCAGATCACTACATCATGTAGCTCACTGGCTCATTCATTTAATTTGTTGATCAAATATTTATTGCATGTCTACTAAATACTCTCATGGAACTGACATTTTGGTGGGAGTGAGTGGAGGAGGGAGGAATTCTTTTTTTCTTTCTTTTTTTTTTTTTGAGACAGAGTCTCATTCTGTTGCCCAGGCTGGAGTGCAGTGGTGCAATCTCGGCTCACTGCAACCTCCGCCTCCCAGGTTCAAGCGATTTTCCTGCCTCAGCCTCTTGAGTAGCTGGGACTACAGGTGCACGCCACCATGCCTGGTTAATTTTTTGTCTTTTTAGTAGACGGTGTTTCACCATGTTGGCCAGGATGGTCTCGATCTCCTGACCTCATGATCTGCCCACCTCAGCCTCCCAAAGTGCTGGGATTACAGGTGTGAGCCACCACGCCCAGCCAGGAGGCAAGAATTCTACATTAAAGTAAATAAAGAAAATAGTTTTTAGATAGAGGTGAGTGCTGTTAAAGAATAAAGTGAGGGAGAGGGCCTAGATGAGTGGGTGAATGGATTGTAGAGAATGACTTCAGATATAGTCGCCGGGGAAGCCCTGTGAGGAGGTGACCCGGAAACTGAGTTCTGCATGACCCAGGGAAGAGCAATCCAGAGAAGGGCCGAGTCAGGAGCTAGGTTGGTGATCAGCTGTAAGCCGTATCTCTCAGCTGGATTCCTGCAGCAGCCCCTTAACAGGCCTCCCTGCATTTCCTCTTATTCTGGACACTGTACCTGGAGCCTTCCAAAAACATGTTCGAGATCCTCCCTACAAACCCAGGGACTTTCCTCTCACAATTAGAAAAAGCCAAAGTGCTTACAAGGGCAGCAAGGCCCCCGCCATGGAACGCCCGCTTTCCTCTGGTTACGTCTTCCACTCATTTCCTGCTTGCTCCCTCTGCTGCAGCCACACTGGCCTCCTTCCTGCTACCGGAACTTGTCAAACATACCTTCACCTCCCAGCCAAGTACTGCGTGGCTTGTGCCTGACTTCAGGTCTCGGCTTGTGTGCAGAGCGCTCCCAAGGCCATGCACACATTTCTTCGAAGATTCGCTAGGACTCTGCATGTAGCTGTATTAGAGTTACAATCTATAACGATGAAAAAGTACTAAGCAAAATTAGCAAAGGGGAAAGGCGAGGTGAAGTCTGGAGGAAACCAGGCACAAGCTTCTTAGAATCCTCTCCTGTGGGAGTCTCACAGGACATACTTCTTGCCCCCATCTGTGGGTTGTGACAACATGTGTGAAATGTTGTCTACCAGGGAAGCTCATTAGAGACTCAACGCCCAGAGGTTTTATTGGTGGCTGGTCATGTCGGCAGCTTCTGTCTGGCAAGAACCAAGATTTCAGACTCCCAGAAGAAAAGCAGGTAATCACCATAAACCATACTGTTTGCACAAGCGGTTCAGGCATCGTGAGCTATTCACATCAGGGAATGGAGGGAACCTTCCCAAAATCTAAGTTCCTAGGTGCCAACAAAGGGCCAATCTTACAATTGGGTCTTTCTTTCTAAGGCTGTAGTCTCAAGCTTTTTTCTTTTTTTTTTTGGAGATGGAGCCTAGCTCTGTCGCCCAGGCTGGAGTGCAGTGGCGCAATCTTGGCTCACTGCAACCTCCGCCTCCCAGGTTCAAGCAATTCTCTGCCTCAGCTTCCAGAGTAGCTGGGACTGTAGGCACATGCTGCCATGCCTGGCTAATTTTTGTATTTTAGTAGAGGTGGGGTTTCACTGTGTTGCCCAGGCTGGTCTCGAACTCCTGAGCTCAGGCAATCCGCTTCGGCCTCCCCAAGTGCTAGGATTACAGGCATGAGCCACCACACCCGGCCTAGTCTCAGCCTTTCTATGTGAAGTCTTTTCTGCATAGCTTGAGTACTGCTGCTCAGGGAGACCTTCTCACCATCCGATTTAAAATACTAGCTCCAGCACTCCCTGCCCTCCCCATCATCTAATTTTTCTCCATATACTCGTCGCTGTCTAAGATACCATATAATCCACACATGCAATTATTTATTGCCCGTGTCTCCCACTAAAATGTAAGCTTCATTTCATGAAGTGGGGATTTTTACCTGCTTTCTTTACCAATGAACCCCCAGCACCTATGACAGTGTTTGGCACATAGTAGGTTCTCAATAATATGAGATGGATGAATGAAGGAAAGCTTAAAAAATCAGGAAAACTTGGCACGTGTGGTTAGAGTGAAGTGTCATGCAGAAAGAGGTAGGAAATGTGATTGAGCAGACAGGGCCAGCGCATACAGAGCCCTTACAGGCTTTGGGAAAGGGTTTAGACAAGCATATTTCTTTTTTTTTCTTTCTTTTTTGAGATGGAGTCTTGCTCTGTCACCCAGGCTGGAGTGCAGTGGCACAATCTCAGCTCACTGCAATCTCCGCCTCCCGGGTTCAAGCGATTCTCTTGTCTCAGCCTCCTGAGTAGTTGGGATTACAGACACCTACCACCACGCCCATCTAATTTTTGTATTTAGTAGAGATAGGGTTTTGCCATGTTGGTCAGGCTCGTCTGGAACTCCTGACCTCAAGTGATCCGCCCACCTCAGCCTCCCAAAGTGCTGGCATTACAGGTGTGAGCCACTACGCCCAGCCTAGACAAGCATATTTCTTAAGTGTCATGACCACCTTTGAGTTGTCCAAACCCAATTTTCACCAGTGTCTCAACTTCAGCTCACCCCCCACTCTCCTCAAAGACAAGTGTCAGTTCCTCTTCTTGTTCCTTTAGTTAATAGGGGTATTCAAAATCTCTTATTATGTGTACTCCATGCTTTTCTGCCCTAGAATTTATTGCAATTATAATAAGTTAACAATTTGTTAGGCCGGGCGCGGTGGCTCAAGCCTGTAATCCCAGCACTTTGGGAGGCCGAGGCGGGCGGATCACAAGGTCAGGAGATCGAGACCACAGTGAAACCCCGTCTCTACTAAAAATACAAAAATTAGCCGGCGCGGTGGCGGGCGCCTGTAGTCCTAGCTATCAGGAGGTGAGGCAGAGAATGGCGTGAACCCAGGAGCGGAGCTTGCAGTGAGCCGAGATCGCACCACTGCACTCCAGCCTGGCAACAGGTGAGACTCCGTTCAAAAAAAAAAAAAAAATTTGTGTAATTTAGTTAATATCTTAATTCTCCATTAATCTGAAGATTTTTGGCTTGTCAGCACTATATCCTCAATGTCTAGCCCAGAACCCAACAATAGAATGACTGCTATTGTTTAGAGTATGGACAACTCCAGGCCAGGGTCAACTTCCTGGACCTGGAACCATTCAGAGCTTTCTCAGGTTCTCCAGTCTTCGTCCTGGGTCAGCATCTCCCCAGCCTCCCTCCAGGCTTGGAGCACACAGTACCAGGCAGCTCTCAGCCTCACGATGCCCTGACTTCTGATGCCTGGCTGTGCATGTTCACTTTGCAGGAACCCCTGGAAAAGGCCCAGCTGCTGGCACTGGTTGGGGACCAGCTCATCCAAAGCCACCATTATGCAGCAGACACCATCAGGCCCCGGTGTGTGGAGCTCAGGCACCTCTGTGACGATTTCATCAATGGAAACAAGAAAAAATGGGACATTTTAGGAAAGTCCTTAGAGTTTCATAGACAGCTGGACAAGGTGAGCAAAACACAGCCAAGAATGTGATGTCTGCAAGATTTTCTGTGAAGAAGCTTCCATTATACTCGTCCTCCCTTCCTTGTGTGATTGCTGACAGGCTCGAGTGCTTTATGTGAAAAGATGTTCAAGAGGCATTCAAAGTGTGCACATCCTAGATTGAAGAGGTACTGAAGGTAAAAAGTGCTCTGGCCATCCCACCACATTCCATTAAATTAACTAAAGGCCATTTCTATCTGTGTGGAGCCAGACTTTAAGAGTGTGTTTTGGCCTGGCCCTGTGGGAACACTTCTTGATTCCCTTTCAGGTGTACAGAGAACCAAGCACTATATTTGCAGAGTGCTTCCCTCATATAAAGGCAAAGGGTTTTGATTCTTTTTGGAGAAGCTTAAGTAATAATGACTATTTTATATGCCCTAGCATTTATCGAGCACCTACTCTATTTCTACCAGGAACATAATTATGTCATCTATTTATAATCCTCAAGACAACCTCTGAGGAAGGTATTAATGGCCTCATTGTGCAGAGGCAGAAACTGATACTCTGCTGGTTCTCAAAATGTAGCACACAAGAATCACCTAGTGAGCTGTTATATGGCAGATTCCCTTATGCACCAGGGCTGGAGACTCAGCGTCAGTAGGTCTGGAATACTGCCCAGGAACTAGTATTTTACTAAAGCACCCAAATGATTCTGGTGCAGGTGGTGCAGGAATGACACCAAGAAGCCCTGGGGAAGTGACTGCCCAAGACCACACGTGGTGCAAACAGGGGAAGCCAGAATTGAAGTCAGGCCTGCCAGATTCCACACCGAGGCTTCACAGGATAGACAGCAAGGCTGCATGCCAGGGGCCCACAGGGAGAGGGGTGTGCAGAGCCTGGTGCCCTTTGGAGGTGACCTCTAGGGTATGTTCCCAGTCAGCAGGAGCAGTGATTTCTGGAGTCTTCCCTGTCAATTGGTCCCAGGCAGCATGTGACTGATGGCAATGAGTCAGCATGCTCCATCCCCACAGCTGTTCCTCTTGCATGCCAGGGGCACCCACCCGGTTGCTTACCTCATCCCATTGCCAAAGGGATTTTAATGTCAATGAAATACAGTTGTTCCAGAAGCAAGTGGCTCAGAAGGGGCTGGTGCACAGCCTTCTCTGTGTGCTGAGCTCGCTGCAGGATCAGCTGCTGTTTTGCCAACTCCATTTTTGCTCCAGAGTGGTGTGTGTGTGTGTGTGTGTGTGTGTGTGTGCGCGCGCACGCATGCACACACACATGGGTATGAGACGGAGAGAGGGAGACACAGAGAGAGAGAGAGAGAGAGAAAGCAAGTAGCCATAGGAACTCTGCAGAAAATCCCAGCCTAATGCTTTTTACAGATCTAGGCATGATGTGTAAAGAGAAAGTTTTCACAGCATATATCAAAGCATGAGTTCATATTATTGTGGAAATCCAAAAATGTAGGAAGAAAAAGGTTACTCATGTGCATGTACATATCCTACTACCCCCCACCCCTACATAATGGTAATTATTAATTCTGAAATATCTTTATTTTTATTATTCTAAATGTAGCATGTATTCACTGTGCTACATTCATTTGCCTAGATTATCTAGGGAAAAAGTGAGACAAACATTTAAGTTGCCTATCATTTTCCCACTTAGAAAGGCAGCCGCTTTGGAGTGTTCCATTTTGATCTTTTTTTCTCTGTATAGTTATTTTATATTGCTTTTCAGGTCACATGGTAAATGGAAATGCAGAGGTACTGGCACTGGAAGCTTATTTTCATATAACTCTTCAGGTAGCATAAGGGTCCCCTGTCTTTCTGTTCAGGTGTCTCAGTGGAGTTCAGAAGAGCAAAGAAAATGAGTCTTTTAAAAAATCTGAATAATTAGAATTCATCACCTATCTGACGTCCTCCCAGCATCCAAAAACTTTGAGTATTGCTGTGCTGAGTTACAAAGCTTTACATTCTTGCTTCCTTAGGAAACACAAATGCCAGTAAATGCAAATAGGGATGGCCTGGGAATCCAAAGAGGAAAGTTGTGTTTTTGTTAAAAGGGACACTCCTTTCTCCCAGGAAATGTAAGGGCCGGGTCCAATGTCTCATTAATCACTCTGTGTTCTCGTAACCAATTTGGATGCAGGTAAACCCCGAAAGCCATTGATTACATTTCTCTATGGTTAGACCAGCCTAAGAGATATTTAGCGCTAAGACTGAGTGGTGCAGTGCCACATGCCTGTAATCCCAGCAGTTTGGAAGGCTGAGGCGGGAAGATTGCTTGAGCCCAGGAGTTTGAGACCAGCCTGGGCAACATGGCCAAAACCTGTCTCTTAAAAAAAAAAAAAAAAAAAAAAAGGAAAGAAAAATTAGCCTGGTGTGGTGGCGCACATCTGTAGTCCCAGCTACTTGGGAGGCTAAGATGGAAAGATCACCTGAGCCTGGGGTAGACCTCTCCAGGCTGCATTAAGCCATGATTGCACTACTACACTCCAGCCTGGGCAACAGAGTGAAACGCTGTCTCAAATTAAATACATATTTACCTGTCTTCTCCTGGAGATGTAGCAATTCCCATCAGTGGAAGAGAGAAGAACATTATATGACTCATTTTGCTGACCAAGTGACCTCCCTGAGAAGTGGACAGGTGTAGATTGGTTTGGGTTTATCTACCTCATAGTATAATTTACAGTGGTTAGACCCCTTAAACTTTATGCCGTCCCATGACAATTTTCCATTGTCTCAGAATCCTTGTAGACAAGCTCAGACCTGCTGAGGATTATGGTGGCTCTGAGTTGTGGTCAGTCAAAGTGCACAAGGCACTGTTTCTTTCCGAAGGTCAGCCAGTGGTGTGAGGCAGGAATCTACCTCTTGGCTTCCCAAGCTGTAGACAAGTGCCAGTCTCGAGAGGGGGTTGACATCGCCTTGAATGACATTGCAACATTCCTGGGCACAGCCAAGGAGTACCCATTGCTCAGCCCTAAGGAGTTTTACAGTGAGTTTGAGTTGCTGCTCACCCTCGATGCAAAGGTAATGCTTCCGGGTTATTTTGATCCTGTGGTTGGGAAATGGATAGGGGAGGGAGGGACTGTATCTTCTTCCTGATAAAGTGCACGCAGGGTGTACTGAGCAGGCTGTATTGAGTGGGCTCACCGATTCCAAAGCCCTCTGGTGGCCTCTTAGACTCCTGGCCTGAACATCCTGGCATACTGATGCTTCATCTGACTCAAATCAGTCATTTCTCTATTAATGTTTATGAGCATTCCTGATGTACCACACACTGTGCTGAATGCTGAGGATACCATGATGATTAGAAATAGGCCGAGGCGGGCGGATCACGAGGTCGGGAGATCGAGACCATCCTGGCTAACATGGTGAAACCCCATCTCTACTAAAAATAGAAAAAATTAGCCAGGCGTGGTGGTGGGTGCCTGTAGTCCCAGCTACTCGGGAGGCTGAGGCAGGAGAATGGCGTGAACCCGGGAGGTGGAGCTTGCATTGAGCCAAGATCGCGCCACTGCACTCCAGCCTGGGCGACAGAGTGAGACTCCGTCTCAAATAAAAAAAAGAAATAAATAGGCATGCTTCTATCCCTCACTGAGCTTACAGTTTCGTGGGAGAGGCTGACATTAACAAAATAATCACCCAAAAATGTATTACAAGCTGATATAAGTGCTGTCAAGGAGGGATTCAGGGTCAGGCATGTGACAGAGGAACTTGACCTGGACTGGGGTCAGAGAAGGCTCTCGGGAAGAGTCATTTGAGCTAAAGCCTGGAGAATGAGTAGACAAGATGGGAGAGCCTTTCCGGACAGGAGGAATAGCATGTGCAAAGGCTTTAGGGCTGGAGGGAGCCTGGCACAGTGCAGACCAAAAGGTCAGGGTGCTAGAACCTGGAGAGCAATGGAAGTGTGTTTTGGGTGAGGTTAGAGATTGGCAGGCAAGGTAGGCTTTGTGGGCCACATGAAAGAGTTTGGATTTAAGCAGGGGATAACTTGATTGGATTTGCATTTGAGAAGCGCATTCTTCCATGAAGCCAGCAGGGTTGTAGATAGCACACCTTCCTCTGAGAGCCACATTACCTTGTCTGCACCTCTGGTTTAAGAGCTTCTTTAAGTCAGCTTCCTGGGCACACAGCAGGGAAGAGAAGACGCGGTGGAGGAACAAACAGATTATATCCAGCCTGTCTAACTGTTCATGTAATTCTGGGGAATGCCCTGAAGTCCATCCATGGACTCAGGCCAAAATCTTTGCTTTGTCTAACATGACACAAACCACATTGTATTCTAATTGTTTGTTTGTTTATGTATTTATTTCTGATACGGAGTCTAGCTCTGTCGCCCAGGTTTGAGTGCATTGACATGATCTCGGCTCACTGCAACCTCCGCCTCCTGGGTTCAAGCGATTCTCCTGCCTCAGCTTCCCAAGTAGCTGGGATGACAGGTGCCAGCCACCACACCCAGCTAATGTTTGTTTTTTTAGTAGAGATGGGGTTTCACCATGTTGACCAGGCTGGTCTCAAACTCCTGTGCCAGGGTGTTCCAGGCACTGGAGATGCCATCGTGCAAGGATGTAGTCATTGCCCTCAAGGGTCTCAAGTAGGAGAGGCTGATCCTTAGATGCACAATTCTGGAGCATGGCAGGACCTGCAACGACTTGCATAGTGATGCCCAGAGGGGGCCACCTGAGGGAGGTAGGGGTGGGGGGAGTAGGGGAAGCTGGGAGAAAGGGAATGCTTCGTGTCCTCAGGCTGTATACAGAGAGACCTGTTCATCATGATTTGCTTTTGTTACTGCAGGCCAAAGCTCAGAAAGTTTTGCAGAGGCTGGATGATGTCCAGGAAATATTTCACAAGAGGCAAGTGAGTCTGATGAAACTGGCAGCCAAACAGACTCGTCCAGTGCAACCTGTGGCCCCACATCCTGAGTCTTCACCAAAATGGGTGTCATCGAAAACCAGCCAGCCCTCCACCTCGGGTAGGTTATTTGAGGAAAAGAAGCTTTGTGGCTTTTGTGTTTCTCCAGCAACATAAGGACTGAGACTGGTTGTCTACAATGGATAATGGTCACTGTTTTAACAGATACTTTTTAAAACAGACTACAGATATGCCATAGCGCAGACATGGAAGACATAAACACTTAGATAACACCAAGTGCCTGGATGTAAGGAGAAACACACAATCTACTGAAGAAGTAAAAAAAAAAAAAAAGCATCATAAAGGCTGGGCGCGGTGGCTCGCGCCTGTAATCCAGCACCTTGGGAGGCCTTGGCGGGTGAATAATCTGAGGTCAGGAATTTGAGACCAGCCTGGCCAACATGGTGAAACCCCGTCTCTACTAAAAATATAAAAATTAGGCTGGGTGTGGTGGCTCACACCCGTAATCCCAGCACTTTGGGAGGCTGAGGGGGGCAGATGACAAGGTCAGGAGATAGAGACCATCCTGGCTAACACAGTGAAACCCCATCTCTACTAAAAATACAAAAAATGAGCCCGGCGTGGCCGCGGGTGGCTGTAGTCCTAGCTTCTCAGGAGGCTGAGGTAGGAGAATGGCGTGAACCCGGGAGGCAGAGCTTGCAGTGAGCTGAGATGGTGCCACTGCACTCCATCCTGGGCGACAGAGCGAGACTCCATCTCAAAAAAAAAAAGAAAAAATTTATTTATATATATATATATAAATTAGCTGGGCATGGTGGTGGGTGCCTGTAATCCCAGCTACTCAGGAGGCTGAGGCAGAAGAATTGCTTGAACCCGGGAGGCAGTTTGCAGTGAGCCGAGATTGTGCCATTGCACTCCAGCCTGGGTGACAAGAGCAAAACTCCATCTTGACAACAACAGCAACAACAAATGCATCATAATAATAACAACGTAATAATAACAGCATACAATAGACTACATTCAGGACCTTTAAAAGGCCCACGTTTTATTAACAATGGTGTAGTAAAATTGGTTCTTTGAGCAGAGATTTAAAAAATAGGTAAGTTCTTATGCCAATCCCATATGGTCCTGATTACTATAGCTTATTAGTTAGCATTTAAGATCAAGTCATGCAGTGTTCCAACGTTGTTCTTTTTCAAGGTTGTTTTGGCTATTTTAGGTCCTTTTCATTTTTCCATAAGTTTTAGAATCACCTTTCAATTTCTGCTGGGATTATGATAGGGATTACACTGGATATATGAGCCAATTTGGAGAGAACTATTATCTTACCAATATTGACTTTTCCAATTCCTGAATATGTTATAACTTATGTTTTTTAGGTCTTTAATTTCTCTCAACAATGCAGTAGTTTTGAGTGTAAAGGCCTTAGGCATTTCACTTTTTTTTAACCCTATAATGAATGGAATTAACCGTATTTAAGAATAGGAATAGATTTATATAGAGAGATATAATCCTATCATCTGTGAATAGGGATACTTTTACTTTTTCTGTTTCAATCTTTGTACTTTTTTTTCTGGTCATATTATAATGACTGGGACCTCCACTACAATGTCAAATAGAAATGGTGAGAGCAGACATCCGTGTGTTTTCCCAATATTAGGAAAAAAGTTGAAGTTTCACCTTTAAGTATGATGTAAGCTATAGGTTTTCCACAGATGTCTTTTATCAGATTGAGGGAATTCCCTTCTATTTCTATTTTTTTTGAGAATTTTTATCATGAATGATTATTGAGTTTTTCAAATGCTTATTTGGTCCATGTATTGAGATAATGATATGGTTTTTCTTCTTTATTTGTTAATATGGTAAATTACAATGATTTATTTTCAAATGTGAAAACAACTGTACATTCTCGGAATAAACTGTCCTTGGGCGGGATGTACATGTCATTTGTTTGTGTTGTGTATTGTGGCGCTCTGTCATTAAGCACATATATATTCATGGTTTTTATGTCTTGCAGATATATTAGCCCTTTTATAATGATGAAATGTCTCTCCTTTGCTCCTTATCTCTAGAAATACTCTTAAAGTCTATCTTGTGTGATATTGTCACAGCCATTCCTGTTTTCTCGTGCTTAGTGTTTGCACAACGTATTTTTTTTTTGTTTGTTTTCTATTCTTCTTTGTATTTAAAGTATATTTGTTGTAGGCAGCATATAGTTGGGCCTTGCCTTTTTATACACTGCAACCTCTGCCTTGTAATTGGAGTGATTAGATTTTTATGTTTACATCCATCATCATTATTGATATAGTTGGATTTAGAGCTCCTGTTTTGTTATCCTTTATGTCTCACATACTTTCTATTCCTCTTTTCCTCCTTTCCTGCTTTCTTTTGGGTTAGTAAATATTTTTTAATATTTTGTTTTAATTCCTCTATTGGCTTGTTATCATATCTCTTTGCACTGTTTTTCACCCAGACTAGGGATTACCATATGCATCTTAACTTGTCATGATCTGTTGAGTTAGTTTCATACCACTCTATGCAAAATATAGGAAATCTACAACATCATACTTCCATATGCTCCCCATCCATCCTCTGTGCTATTCTTATCATAAATATTACATCTATATATGTTAAACCCCCACTATGGTATTACAATCTTTGCTTTCAATAGTCATATATCAAATTAAGACAAATACATATGTGTGTGTGTGTGTGTGTGTGTGTGTGTGTGTGTGTGTGTGTATACATACCCCCTTATTCACCATTTCTGGGGTTCTTCATTCCTTATTATAGATTTGAGTTACTATCTTATGTCATTTCTCTTCAGAATAAAGAGCTTCTGTTAGTATTTATTGTTGGGGAGTCTACTGGCAACAAATTCTTTTCTTGTCTTTATTTTTTCCTTTTTGTGGAGAACGGAGTCTTGCTATACTGTCCGGGCAGGTTTCGAACTCCTGGGCTCAAGCTATCCTCCCGCCTCTGCCTCCCTAAGAGCTGGGATTACAGTTGTGAGCCACTGTGCCTGGCCTGTTAGCAATACATTCTTTCAGTTTTTGTTTATCTGAAAATTGTGGTGTGTTTTGGTAATTCTCCATTTAGTACAATTTACAGTGCCTCGTCTTCCACCATGCATCCTACTTTTTAGAAGTAAGCCTGATAACGTGTAGTGTATTTATTTCCTGAATTTTATCTGCAAATACACACACACATCCACGTCCACACTCTAACACACTTGCATACACATACCACAGACATACCCAAATATACACAGACACATCCTTCTTAGATGATTGGAAACAGAACTTTGTTTTCTTGACCTTTCATCTTCCCTCAAGCTAAACCATGTTCATGTCTATGACTTGGCTTCATTTGTTGTTTCAAGGAACATATGTTTGTTTGAAGTAAATAAAGCAAGAATTAGAGATTTGTTTCTCGGCTTTTCAAATACAAGATTTCATAATAGATAACACTCCTTTCCAGAATAAATAGGTCTTTGTCAAGTCTGAACAGGTTGTCATTGACCTAAGTCAAACAACTAGCTCGTTTTGCAGAACAATCCTGCACTTTTGTTTTTGGCAAGTATCTACTGAGTGTGGACTCTAGCAAGTCACTAAAAGGCTTTTCAAACATTTTTGTGTGATTCCTTAGTAGCTGAGTCTGTGCCAAGATAAGCAATGGTATTTCACAGTGTAAAGAAGATGGGTGGAAGGGCTTAAGAGCTGGAATTTCAGCTCTGACTCTTGTTAGCTGGATGCGTTGGCTACAACTTTTAACACCTCTGAAGTTCATAAGGAATGTGAAAAAACTTTTTAATGCCATGTGACTATAATAGCTAAAATATGTTATGCATTGTATATGATCCACATTCTTCACAAATGAACTCATTAAAGCCTCATCACAGCCTTTACTATAGGATTTCTCATTTTTCCCTACTTTACAGATGAAAAAGGTAAGGCACAGAGGTGACTGTAATCATGTGTGCCTCGTGCATGGAAGAGCAAGGCTTGAACACCAGCAGTGTGGCTTCTGTGGCCCTACCTTTCACTGCTTCACTCTACTTACAGTGTCAAGGACAGGCGCTTCTCAGTCATGGTGTCACCAATTATAGTGCATCCATTTCTAGCATCTAGTTATTGTGCCTGGAATCACTCACTTTATAGAGAGCCCACAGAGAGGGAGGAGCCCAAAGGATTGTCTGTTATTACAAAGCAGCATTAATGGTCATATATATAACCTGGGGCAGCAGTGTACTTTCCTACCATTTTCAACATAACATCTATGAAAAACCCATAGAAAGCCCAAGCTGCTTCCAGTTGGCTCACAGAATGAAAGGGTTGGGAGGAGCCTCTGGAGGTCAGATGTCAACCTCCCTCAAGTCTATCATAGCTAAGAATCAGGGTGATATATTGGTGGCGTTTGATGAATGGCATTTTGGTCTTGGGACCTGTAAATGCTAAAATCGGCCAGGCGCGGTGGCTCACGCCTGTAATCCCAGCACTTTAGGAAGCTGAGGCAGGCAGATCATGAGGTCAAGAGATCAAGACCATCCTGGCCAACATGGTAAAACTCCGTCTTTACTAAGAATACAAAAATTAGTTGGGCATAGTGGTGCGTGCCTGTAGTCCCAGCTACTTGGAAGGTTGAGGCAGAAGAATCACTTGAACCTGGGAGGTGGAGGTTGCAGTGAGCTGAGATCACACCACTGCACTCCAGCCTGGCAACAGAGCGAGACTTCATCTCAAAAAAAAAAAAAAAAAAAGAAAAGAAAAGAAAAAAAGAAATGCTCAAATCCTGCCTGGGATTAATCACATCTCCTGTGAGTTTCCCAAGGGACCAGCATATACAAGGGTGGCGACTGTGACAAATAAGAATTCAAAGTACCTCTTATCTATTAGCCTTGTGGCCATCACCCACAATGCTTGGTAAAGCTGGTAAGGTGGGTTAGGAAGCCTTGAGGCCTAACCAGGGCTTCTCCTCTCCAAGTCCCAATTTTACTACCAAATGGCCATGGAGCTTAAAGAAAGGATATTTCCCAGGTGTCTAGGACCTTGTGGGAAGGGGAGAAGGGAGATAGAGTGACCGAGAGAAAAGAGCAAGAGTAAGACAGCCCAATTTCTTCCTGACTCAGCCAACTGATTCTCACAGTCCTCCCATTCACTGATAAATGTGGGTCCATCAGTTCTGGAATGCAACAATTATACCATCAGATTACCTGCAACAACTGCTGGCTATCGCAAGCATGGCCATCCTCTTACAGTACAATCATAGTATGATTGTGTGTATACATGTATGTGGGTAAAAAGAGGGAGAGCATTTGAAAGAAGACTATAAGGAAATATACTAAGTGACTATGCTTCAATGTTAAGATTTTAGTGTTTTTCAGATTTTCTATAATAAGCAAAAATTAATTACCTTTATAATGGAAAATATATTCAGTACAATGCAGTACCTAGAATTTAGTCTTCGAATCAAAGACCAACATCAAGTGCAACATTATGCTGTACACATGATGCATGCCTAAGCAGCAGTGCATAAAGGAATCCATAAAGTTTGTAATAAGGAAGACTTCATGAGGAAAGTGTCCTGTTTGTTTGTTTGTTTGTTTGAGATGGAGCCTAGCTCTGTTGCCCAGGTTGGAGTGCAGTGGCACGATTTCAGCTCACCACAACCTCTGCCTCCCAGGTTCAAGTGATTCTCCTGCCTCAGCCTCCCAAGTAGCTGGGATTACAGGCACATGCCACTGTGCCCAGATAATTTTTGTATTTTTAGTAGAGACGGGATTTCACCATGTTGGCCAGGCTGGTCTCGAACTCCTGACCTCAGGTGATCTGCCCACCTCGGCCTCCGAAAGTGCTGGGATTACAGGTGTGAGCCACCAAACCCAGCCGAAAGTGACCTTTTAGCTGAGTCTTAAAAATGGGAATGACAGAAAATCTACTGTTCTTTACCACATTACTATATTTATAGATTTATTGTAGTTTGATGTTTCGTACGGTGCTGGGTGTGACTTTTTTCTCTTCTGCTGAAATGTCAAGTCCCTGGAGTCAAGGATTCTATTTCTTTTCTGTGTCTCTCCTTCACCTCCAATTTCATCCACCACCTGGGAAATCAGTGCAGCAGCTCAACTGAGCTTTTTTAGTTAACCACATTGACATGGTCCAGCTATTTGTCCAAGTCAGACAAAGTGCTCTGAGTTATAATTTATAAGTCAAATAACCAAATTAATGGCATGTTTTCTTAGTCCCTCTAGCTCCTCCTCTGAGAACGTCTGAGGAACCTTATACAGAGACAGAGTTGAACTCCCGGAGAAAGGAAGACGATGAGACTAAATTTGAAGTCAAGGTAAAATTACCTTTATTTTACTTATGGAACTTTCTGACAAGAGAGAAGATTGCTGTCATAATTATCAATAAATCAACAAATCATATTTCCATATTTCCTTAATCTGTACCTATTGTCACCTCCAGAAGATAAGCCCATCAAGGCACATAGCACAGACTAATGCTTTCAAGAACTGGGGTTTATAGGATTTTTTTTCTTTTCATCCTTTTCTTTCTTCTTAATGACAGCTAGAAATGAAATTTGGTTGTGTATGTAATTATCGGTAGGTACTGTTGTAGTAAAAGAAAAATCATTTTATTTATTTCTGTAATCTGACTTCATATTTAAAATTGGTAGAACAGTATATGGTTCATGTATAAAAAGAGCATGACAGGCTGAGCGCGATGGTTCACACCTGTAATCCCAGCACTTTGGGAGGCCGAGGCGGGCGGATCACGAAGTCAGGAGTTTGAGACCATCCGGCAAACATGGGGAAACCCCATCTCTACTAAAAATACAAAAATTAGATGAGCGTGGTGGCGGACGCCTGTAGTCTCAGCCACTTGGGAGGCTGAGGCAGGAGAATCACTTGAAACTGGAAGGTGGCAGTTATGGTGAGCCAAGATTGTGCTGCTGCACTCCAGCCTGTTCAACAGGGCGAAACCACGTCTCAAAAAAAAAAAAAAAAAGAGCATGACAAAATTGCATAGAGCTGCACACACACATGCACACACACAAGTGCGTGAATAACTGGTGAACGCTTAATAGGCTCTGTGGATTGTGCCAGTGTCAGTTTCTTAGATGTTAATATTGGAGGAGGTTTGGAGAAAGGGGACATGAGACTTTCCATTTCTTTGCAACCTCATGTGACTTAATATAATTATTTCAAAATAGAAGTTTAAAAAAAGCATAAGGTTTGGAATCAGGCAGATCTGGGTTTAAGCAACATAACCTCTTGAAACCTCAGTTTCTTGCTTGTACAAATGGGTATAACAATAGCTACGTCCTGAAAATATTTTGAGCATGAAATGAAAATTTGAAAATTGCTAAGCACTGTATAATTTTAAAGTAACATATATTGAGAAACTGAAGTATAATTAATTGTGAATTGTGAATATATGTTGCTGCATAGCAACCCCTGGAGGGGTTCCCTTCCCCTGCCTCCCTGAAAATTAAATATTTGACTGGCTGACTGGTTCTGAAACCATGAGGCCAGGGGCTCAAATGAGCTTCAGCAACATTTATGATCCATCATCAATCCCCAAAGCGTCTGAATATGAACCCCACGGGAACTCCACTGACCTTTAAAGAGTCTGGAAGAAAGTGAGTTTTAGGCTTTTCTTCTTGGAGGCAGAAAGAGAGCGGGAACGAGGGTTCTCAGCAGACTTTTCTTAGAGAGAAAGCTGCGTCCATCTGTGAATCTGTGCAGTCATCCTGTATTCAGGGCAGATTAGGACCTAGCCACTGCTGTCCATAAATCCCTTCTGGTTGGAGGAATTGCATCACCATGTTTTCTCAAGTTAGGAAACTGTATGAAATTTCATACTGTCTTGATCAGCCACCTAAAAAAGTAAATAGCAATTTTTAAAAATAGATTCACCTGATTTAACACCCAGGAGGTCTGTGGAATCATTAAGTAATGTTAAAAGGGTTTCATTGTGGTCCTCTTCAAAAGTGAACATCAGCCTCTCCATTTCTGCACCCTGGACTTCTGGGAGAGTGTCATCTCTGAAGGTGAGGACTGTGTCACATGATCAGAGCTCAGATTTGGCCCCTGAGCTCATATTCTGTTGCCACTGACTCACAACATGACATGAACTCACTTCCTATCTCTATGACCTACTTTGCCCATCTTCAGACAACATATTTATGACCTGCACACTATAAAGATGCTACGGGAGTTTTAAGCATATGGAAGTTCTCATATAAAGGAATCCAAATTAGAGTGATTTATTTCAATTATTGTGAACAGTAAACAAGTTCTATGGTTTTTTGTTGTTGTTGTAAAAGAAAAACATAGACAGTGTAGGAGCAGCAGTGGGGATAGAATCGGAGGCCTGTTGGTGTGGAAAGTGTTGAGTAGAATCCAAGAAGCCCTGGTCACCCAACTTTTGGTTTCTTCCTTCTTTTGCCATGTTGTTTATTTAATTCAGACTCCAAACCCATCCTGTTAAGATGCCATCTCCCTCTGTATTTAGGCAACTCACCAAACAGTATGGGTACTGTTAAACAAGCACAAGTCCATGTTAAAATCATCCTTCTGTGCTTTAGTTGTTTTCTTCCTTATTGTTGATTTGTTGCATATTTAATGAAAAGCTTTTCCCACAACAGCATATGTTAACAGTCAAGGTGGTGGAGGAAGCAGAGTAGGAACAGAGGCTGGTCAGATTTCTGCTTAGAAAGACCAAGGCTATGGAAGGAAATGTAAGCAGAATCCATAAAGTCATGAACAACATGAGCAGGAAGAAAGTGGATTTGTGCACTAAATCCCCAAATCCTAGACTTAGGAATGAATTTAGGACCAATAAATGCAGTTAGTGTTTCACACATTGTGTATTATAACCAGAGAAATTGTTATTCCAAAATACATAAGAAAACTAGTAAGAAAAAGATAGGTTCAAAAAAAAAGGTTTAGATTCATGTCTGTGTGGATCATGGATTATTAAAAGGGGGACAAATCAGTTGACTACATCAACAATAATCATTGCAGCTTGTGTTTAGTGGCCGCTGTCCAAGAGAGATGACCAGGATGCATAGAGCATGCATCTAACTCTGGGTGGCAATTCTGACATCCTTTTGGCCTTAGGTCTAGAACTCAAAGATGAAATGAAACACAGCCAGTCTAGCAGAGTGAATCATAACATTGTGATAAATGCCACCCCTTTGCCCTTGAGAGTAAGTACGCAGAGAAAAAAAAGTAGCTGTGAACCAAAACCATGTATAATACAGTCACTGATACTCACCACCTACAACTGAAATCATGACATGGTTTGATCACGATCAGAGAAATCATTTCCTTTTCTGGAGGGATGATCCTTGCCGTGCTGGTTCTGGGGAACTTGAGAAGCTAAACTTGACAGGGCAGCTGAGACTCTTCCGGGGCCATCTGGCAAGAGTGATGCCCTGTGCTCAGCTCACTGACGTCATCTGGGAAAGCCCTGTGGTGGAAGCGATTCGCTGTGCTTTTTGGCGATAGTGATGTAACTATTTCCTGTTCTTCACTGGCTGGAAGCTGAAAGCATGACTCACGGGAACTACTTTTCCCAGGCTGCCAACATCACAGCCTTTTTGTAAGCTGGAAATAAGTCAGAGGCTAACAATTTCTTTTTCCTAAATGTGTACCTACAGAATTAAGAAAGAGCTAACAGTGTTCCTTGGTGCCTGTTAAAGTTATTTAAAGGAGCAGAAGCCTATTCTGTGCTCCCAGAGGTTGAAAAAAAAAAAGTAAAGTAACAGAAGCCTTTTCAGGATTCTGAGCAAAGAGCCTCCTAAATTAAAAATAAATAAATAAAAGTTTTTGAATGCAGGAGCTGGAAGGGAATGGAGAGGTGAGTGGAGGGTTGCTATCATTGACTGAAGGCCAGACGTTGTACTGGGTGCTGTGTGTACCTGAGTCCATCTCTAGTCCTCAGAACCTTGTGAGGATGATGTTTTCCGTTTTATCAGCAGTGCCACGAGACTCAGAGGCTGAGTTTCCCCAAGGGTCATGCAACTAGTAAATGTTGTAGGTGGGATTTGAAACTAGCTGTTTACTAATCTGGCAGCTTACTTAACTACCTAACTTATCTATCCGATTATTTATTAATACTTAATGTACCCAACCAGCAGCTTATTTAATCTCTTGTGCCCTAAATGTCCTTTTCTGCCAAATGGTGATAAATCATAGCAATTTCACAGGTGGCTGATTAAATGAGAAATGTGTGGAAAGCAACTTGCACTGTACCTGATACCTAGCAGGTTCTTGGTGAATTTTAGTTCCTCATTTAATCCTGTGTTTAAAAGACAGAATGGTCAGTGTGAAAGATGAAAAGAAGGTGAAAGAAGGTCAGATTTGGGGCTTATACAGAATGATCCTGTTGTTGAATATGTACCTTACTGCCAAATGATAACAGATCAAGGACTAAATTCAGTTCCTTGTCTTCTTATTACTTTGACTTCCAGAAGTTTTTATTAATATTTCTGATTCTCAACAAGAAAACTGTAGAATTATAAACACATTTCAGTGCTTGCCTTCTATGATATTTGAAGTCTAGTCAGTGTCAGAGCTAACAGGAGATTTAGGGACTCTACCAAATCCTGGGGTAGCCCCCAGCCAAGTTCTCTGAAGTTTCCAGAACAAGGATTCTCATGGTTTCCTGTGTACCACAGCTCTGAGAAGCTTATGAATTATGTAGATTCCCAGGGCCCCACTCTCTGAGATTCTAATTAGGGAAGTGTAGGGTTGGGTCCCGGAATCTGATTTTTTTTTTTTTTTTTGAGACGGAGTCTCACTTTGTTGCCCAGGCTGGAGTGCCATGGAGTGATCTCAGCCAGGTTCAATTGATTCTCCTGCCTCAGTCTCCAGAGTAGCTGGGATTACAGAGGCCCATCACCACGCCTGGCTAATTTTTGTATTTCTGGTAGAGGCAGGGTTTCACCATGTTGCCCAGGCTGGCCTTGAACTCCTGACCTCAGGTGATCCCCTGGCTCAGCCTCCCAAAGTGCTGGGATTACAGGCGTGAGCCACTGCACTCAGAATCTGAATTTTTAACTTACACGTTTGGTGACAAGAATGCAGGTGGTATAAAGATCTCACTTTTTGTAACATTGTCCTAGAGGTTACATTTATAGGCCATGAGGACTTGGGATAAAGGAGAACTCATTATGTTTGATCTGGATTTCTCAGGCTAGCATAGGGTCTGAAGTTCAGGGGAGTGAGGTGGTGATTACATTAAGCTAGGAAATGTATTTTTGTTGAGGGAGCTGAATAAGATGAAAGAGAGAATAACATTAAGCTCACCATTGGCCTTGCTCTTTCACCA